CTAAGAAGCGTCGAGGCTGTGGAGGATTGATTTCAAAGGAAATTCTGTCATGACAATTATCCGGTGTGCTTAATAATAGGGCCTTAGTTTTCTTGCAGAAATGACAAGCGAAAAAAAATAATATTCTCCATTTTCGGATAGCGAGTCTCTGCATCAAGGAGAGCTTTTGAAGTGTAGAATACTGGATGTTGTGCCCCAGCTCTTCTCGGATGAAGGCTGAGCTGACAGCTGAGTCGGACACCGCCAGGGAGATGTACAAGTCTTCGCCTGGTATCCATTTTGAGAGTAAGAGAGGTGAAGTGAGGTAGGTTTTCAAGTTTTGAAAAGCTACTTCGCACTCATCATCCCACTTGTCTTTGTGTCCCTTCTTCAAGGCTTTGAAAAATGGTCTGCACCTGTCGGTAGATCTTGAGAGGAATCGGTTAAGAGCTATCGCCCTACCCGTTAGACTTTGTATCTCCCTTGTTGTGGCAGGTGACTTCATGTTGAGTATAGCCTTGATTTGATTTGGATGACTTTGTAGCAGTATGTACCTCTTTTGATGATGAAAGAGGTCTTTGCCTTGTCGTCTTCATGCATCATGATTTGGTTGTAGCCGGAGTAGGCATCCATGAACCTTAGCAATCGGTTGCAGGAAGTTGAATAGATGAGCTGATCAATTCTAGGCAGTGGAAATTTGTCTTTAGGGCATGCCTTGTTGAGGTCGGTGTAGTTGACGCACACTCTCAACAAACCTTTTTCTTTCTCTGCTACTAGAACGACGTTCGCCAACCATTCTGCGTAGGACACTTCTTCATTGAAACTGGCAACTAGAAGCTTGTTGATCTCGACTTCAATGATGGCAACCCGCTTGGGGGAGAAGTTGTGTCTCTTCTACGCAACAGGCTTGATAGCTAGGTTGACGTATAGACGATGGCAGATGATCTGTTGATCGATGCTAGGCATGTTGGATGGTGGCCTTGCAAATACGTCTTTGTTGTTATGAAGGAAGGCTGCAAGCTGTGCCTTTTCCTCCTGGCTTGTCAGGATCAAGGGATATTAGCTCAACGTCCTCATCGAGCTTTTATCCTTCTTTAGGAGAGACCTTCGGACGGATTCCCTCAACTTGGTCCTAATTCTTTGATTGCTATTGGGGAGTAATTATTCCCTTTCATTTTTGGTCTGCTCGACCGTTAGGAACGGGATCTACTTTCTCATATGCTTGTTCTACTCCCTTTAGATATGCCTGATTCACAAGGAGGAACTGTGTTTGCTTGCCTTTCTTCAACCATTGAGCTGAGCATTTCCTCGCCATTGCTTGATCACTGTTGATATGGCTGATACCACCCCCAGGGATTGGGTAGCGAATCTTCTGATGTGTGGCAGAGGTGATGGCGTTGATCTTGCTGATCCATGGTCTGCCCAAAATGCCATTGTAAGGTGAGATTTCATCAATGACCATGAAGGTTTGTGAGCTGATTACTGGTGGGGAGTAACCGTTGTTGCGCCATTGAAGCCAGTCAACGACTTGGTTGATTTATTGATCTTTGTCTCTAAGCCCATTTGTTGGATGACCGCCAATTCTAGGATGTTGGCTGCACTGGCCTCGTCTGCATGGATGGTTGATCAAGGCCGATTGGATCGTTCTTTTGGAAGCTGATCATGGGATCGTCTTCTGCCAGTGGGAGATTAGTGGAGACCTGGGAGATCATAGTGGCTTGCTTGATCTTTCTCTTCTTTTCTTTGTTGGTCAATCCGGACTCCTTGGAATCGGCTAGGATTGTGTTAATCCTTACGACCTTCTTGGGTGGCTCCTTGGCAGTATCGTGGTCTTCTATCTGCTGGATGGCCTACTTCGCGATGAACTCTGTGCAGTGACCTTCTCTCACAAATTCTTCGAGGTGTGCTTTCCAAGCAAAGCAATTATTCGTATTGTGCCTGTGTGTTGCATGGAAGGAAAAATACTTTCTAGTATCCCTCCTATCCTGATCTCCTTTTAAAGGTAGCGGTCTTTTAACCCAAGGTTTGTCCTCACTTGGGCTAAAATTTGATAAATAGGGATGGAGAACTTGGTGTAGTTCTCTTTTGTCATGGCTTCTCCTTGTGTGCGCGACTTGCATTTGTCTTTGTCTTTGCTGCCAAGCTTGTCGCTTCTTTGGTCTGCCCGTTTGGTTGGCCGGTCTTCCTGCTCAGTGGACTTGTTCGCGGCGATTCGATCGTCATCCCAGAGCGCATAGCGTTCCGTGGTCGAGAAGACCTCTGCCAGAGTCTGGCTGGGAGTGATAGTCAGCTTGCGATATAAGTTGTGTTCTGCTGGAAGATCTTTCTTGAATGCGGAGAATGCGATTTGGTCATCGCACCCTACGATGTTGGCCTTTTCTGCTTTGAACCTCTTGATGTAATCTCAAATGGATTGGTCGGGCTTCTTGCGCAGGTTGAACAGATGATCAGGGTTCTTCTTGATCATCCGATAAGAAGTGTATTCTTTAGTGAAGACATAAGCAAGCTCCTTGAAGCTGCTGATCGACCTGGATGGCAGGGTGCGGAACTAGTCCTGAGCTGCTCCTCACAAAGTCATTGAAACACCTTGCACATAAGCATGTCTTCGGCTTTGTAGAGGATCATAAGGCTCTTGAAATGCTTCAGATGGCTTTCAGGATCGGAATCCCCTTTGAAGCATGTGAAAGAGGGCATTGAGAATCATTTCGGGGGAGCAGCCTACTCGATTTCGGGGGTGAAAGGTGACGAGTTTGCTCGATCTACCTCCATGCATAGTGCATCTTCGAAATTTCTGCCAATCTTTAAGTCTAGAAGTCGGTTGTTCACAAGCTTCTCGACGTCTTCTGCACACATGGCTGGGCGGTCACATTGACGACCTTTACGATTTGGGCGGGACTGAGTAACTTCCTTGTCGATTTGCAAGGGTTAACCTTTTCTGCTGCGCTGCCTAGGCGGCGTGTTGGTGGACTGCACTTGCGAGGGATTTTCTATAGCTTGGCGGCGAGAATTAGTTCTCCGAGAGCGGGCAGTGCAGTGCCTTTCTTCACGGTCCTCATTGTGAGCGTTACCAGGTTGACGTCCCTGGGGGCCTAGCCTTTCATGACCAGGCAGTGGAGCGCCTCTCTTCATAATCCTCATTACGGCAATTGTCAGTTTGAACTCCCTAGAAGCCTAGCCTTTCATGAACATTTCCCTGCGGGCCCAGGCGAGCGAGGACGTCAAGTCGTGGATCGAGCCTTTCTCGCACGTTGCTTTGTGTGTGGCTTGCAGATGCTTGTGACATGCCGGCAAGTTGATCACGCTATTGTCCATCTCCTTGTCTGCTTACTCCTGTTCGACCTACTTGGTACCCATCGACCTGCCTATCGGCACGTTCATCCCTCCTCTCTTCGCCCGGTTGTCCAAGGCCAACCTTTTGAACCAATTTATTTGGTTGAGGTGCTGCCTCATCAGATTGGTTTGGTCGTCCATTCTCTGAGTTAGCTGGTCAACTCTCATATTAAGGTATACTTGACTTTGTGGATCGGGAGGAGAGAAATGTGTGGAGCCCAATTGCACACGGGCTAGGGTTTCATTGGATGTGTACGTGGGAGCGTGCATCGAGCGTGGAGGCAATGGAGGGAATGCTTGAAGTTGCTCCAAGATTGGGCCAAAGTCGCCGGTGATAGTGAGCCCACCTTGATGGGAGGTTCCACCATCTTTGGCGGCGGTGGCCGGTGCGGTGGTCTTAGCTGCGAGTTCGGTAGGTAGCACGGTGGTGAGAGGTGGTGGTGCCACCATGTTGATCGCGGGATCATGGGTGGAGTGGCTTTGCGCCGTCACAGATTGAGCCATCGAGGCGGTTTTGGTCCTAAGGCATTTGCTTCCAACCATGGTTGTTTGGAAGGCTTCGGTGGATTGAAAAACAGGAGAATGTTTTCCTTGAGCACGCGTTGAGTATAACTCGTGGTCTCAATGAAAGCACCAAATGTTTTTGCAAATATTCTCGTGGGAGAATATTCGATTTTAGATCCTTCAACCTTCGATCTTCCATCTCTCTCTTCCTCGTTTCCTGTAAATAGACCACACCTAGGGGGTGTTGGCCAAAGGCCATCCGATGCCTAAGTTAGCTCGAGTGTTTATAGGAAAACAATAGCTAAGCAAAGGGTACGGAGTTGTATGTATGGTGTGAACAGGGTAACCGGAGCCGTGTGTGGTGGCCGGAGCCGTGTGGAGAAAATATGGAGAGTGGAGAGGGAGAGAGAGCTTCGGGTATTTTTCTAGGTAGGTTTAGATGTACCTTAAATGATGAATGAAGTCATCTATTTATATGAGCCTCGGTACTAGGGTGTAGGAGTAGGTTTAGATGTACCTTGAATGATGAATGAAGTCATCTATTTATATGAGCCTCGGGGCTAGGGTTTCGTAGAGAATATGCTGAGTTTATTCTCTATCCAAATTTGTAGGGATCAAGTCGGACTTAGATAATATCTAATTTAATGATATTATCTTCTCTTTATTGAAGATAATATCTGAATTAAATGATATTATATTTTTTTATGAATATAATATCTTAATTAATGATATTATCTTCTCTTTATTAGAATAATATCTAAATTAATGGTATTATCTTATTAAATAAAGATAATATCTCATTAATTAAGATATTTATCTCAAATAATTAATTAGCCAGATAAACTGGTTCAATTAATTAATTTAAGAGATAATCTTCTTTTCTACATTGCGTGCCCTGATTGGAGACGAAAATATATGCTCCCATAGGGTCATAGTGTAAAGTTCAATTTTCTTTTTTAAAGATTAAAATAACATTGAAAATGAAACTACAGTACATTCATTCATAATTCATGTGAAAAACAACATTACAAATTACAATTGGCCACGACGAGGTTTCATATTTTGAAAACGTAGCATTATAGCTTCATTTTCAATACAATCAAAAACATGCTTCTCAACGTAAACAAGTAAGCTATCACTCAACCATTGATCTCCCATTTTGTTCCAAAGTGGACCTTTGATAATATTCATGGCGGAAAATGCCCTCTCAACTAAAGCAGTAGCAACCGGTAAAACTAGAGTCAATGTAATAAGCAAATACACATAATTGAATGCTCGATGCATTCTTGTCTCCCAAGTCAGAGAAATCACCACTTGAACGCACATAATGAATATAAAGCTCAAGTTGATCTTCAAGTGCCAAAAGATCCCCATCGGAAAAGTCTTGAGGATAAAATTGAGCAAGACGAAGTAGCTTTTGTTTATTGAAAGCTACAAATGAATCATTCGGACTCAAACATTCCAAACAAATAAGCAACTCAGTATTTACCTCATTAAAAAGATCATCTAACTCCGTAAGTTGCTCATCAATGACATAAATAAAGAGCTCCACACGATAATGATGATGATTTGTCTTTATTGGAGCATTACGCCTTGACCTCCTTAGAAGTAGAAATGCCTCATTCATGTTAGGAACATCAATATGATGTTCGTCACAAAATGAAGACACCTCTTCAACCAATGCATCAAACCCATTATTCCTCATCCAATGTAGCTTTTCCTTGCATGATTTCACCAAAGCCATTGCATTCTTCTTGATCTTTCTTTTGCAATGCTTGTGACACATCATTTTTGAGTCCCAATATAGCTTTTAAGAATAGGTGAAACACAAACTGAAAAGGCATTTCCCTTTGAATCTTATTTGCTTCACCAACACTATCATTGGGATTATCATCAATAATCATTTGAAGCACATGAATCACATATGAAAACATAGAAATGATGCTAATAATGGTACCGTAATGTGAGCTTCACCAGCACGTTTGAGACTTGTTTCTTGATGCAAACCTCGCCCCGTTATAAGACAATCATTTTCAAAAGCTATCACAAGCTCTTCTTGGAGTTGTGCTCTAAGTGTATCACGCCGCTTACAAGATGCTCCAACATGGTTAACCACACTATTAGTGGTTGTGAAGAAAGAGGCAATATCAATATTCTTCTTTGTTTTGGCAACAAGTGCTAGTTGAAGTTGATGAGCAAAGCAATGAACATATTATGCACAAGGTTGTTCTCTCAAAATCTTTGTTTTAAGGCCATTCAACTCACCTCTCATATTGCTAGCTCCATCATAACCTTGTCCTTGTAACTTGGAAAAGCTCAAACCGTTGGAAGAAAAGAACATGTCAATGGCATCCTTTAGTGTACTTGAAGTGGTGTCGGTAACATGTTGAACCCCTACAAACCTTTCAATTACATGCCCTTTGTTGTCTACATTACGCAACACCATAGCCATTTGCTCTTTCACAGAAATATCACATGCTTCATCCACCAATATAGAAAAAAAAATCTATCTTTTAAACCACTCATGATAACATCAAGTGTTTCTCCAGCACATGCATTGACAATATATTTTTGAATCTTTGGAGCTACTAACTTGAGATTCTCCACAGCATTTTCCAACACAACTTCTTTAACTTTCTCATCATTGTCTACAAGGAATTGCAATAGCTCCAAGTAATTTCCTCTATTGCTTAAAGTGACACTTTCATCATTTCCACGAAAAGAAAGACCTTCTCTCAATAGAAACTTAGTGCACTTGATTGATGCAATTAAGCATCTTCGATATGCCATACGAGCTTGTTTGGAGTGTTTGCTCACAGCTGTTTCAATATGTGTATTTTGATTCATCAAATTTGTAGCAGCTTCTCAAGCTTTATTATGAACACTACCAACCGGTCTAACATGCACCTTCATTCTTTCTCTCCCTTTCTTCCAATTCTTAAACTCTGCTCCAGTGAAGGTTTCACTACCCACTTGTTCAAAATTGGATTTAAAGAGATCGCAATAAAGACAAAATTCAACATCTTTAGATACACTATACTCCAACCCATCAAATTCATCAAACCATTGGGGAATGAATCGTCGATTAATTCCTGAGATATTACTTTGTGGGAAAGAATGACCTCTAGGTTGACAAGGTCCTTTTTATAGATATGCTCTTCGAACCTCATCTCTAATATTAGTATCATACTCAATCATACGAATTCTTAGTCCCTGGTCTGCCTGAAGATTAGCCAAAACCTCATCTAACTCACTTTGTCATGAACTTGAAGTTCTTGAACTACCCACACTATCCGAACTACCCAATGATGACGTTCTCTTAAAAAATCTTTCCATAATTCTACATAAATTAATCAAAATAATAACTAAAATCAATTAAAGAGAACACCAAATTTATAACAATTAACCACAAAAAATTCATAAATGAAACATCCAATAAATCAAAGAAATATAATACAATCATAAATTCAATTTCAATTCAAGTAATTTAGGTTTAGAGTTAGAATTTACTTTGAATTGTAAGGTGGTGGAAGCGGTGGCGCTACTGGCAAAGGTGGCAATGGAGGAGTTGGGGCTTAAAGGCTTGGTGGGGGAGAGGGTTAAAGGTTTGTGGGGGGTGGAGTTTGGGGATTTAGGTTTGAGGGTTTAGGAAATGGGGGTTTTGGAGTTGAAAAATCAGGAGGGAGGGTCTGTTTCAATTATACAATCTATTCTTTTTTTTTTTTTTAAAGACCTGGACCAAAACGATGTTGTTTTAGCTAGAGCGTTTTAAAAAAAAATTCGCTGGGCTAGTCCAAAATGACGTTGTTTTGGCCAACCTGTTTAAAATAAAATAAAATTAGAAGCTGGGCCAAAATGACGCCGTTTTGGCCAGCTTCTTTTATTAAAAAAAACAAAACCCCTATTCAGCTTCTTCTTCCTCAGGTCTGTAACTCCTCCTTCAGCCATTCATGGGGTCACACACCCATTCAGAGGGACCTTCTGCCTTGCTTTTATGGAGTCCATAGGGTCGTTTGACCCCACTGTGGGTCCGTCCCCATATCCGCAAACAAGAAACCTCAAACTAGATATTGTCTTTGTTGAGGCCCAAAAAATCCACGGTCGTGCCCAAATAAATTATCGGCCCAAAATGACACTCTATCAAGGAAAGGCGTAAAGCGGAATACACAAAAACCCGCCACATGAATGGCTGCAAATCCACATGCCATGCTAAATAAATAATTCGTCATGCTAGAATATATCGGCCCTGCAAATCCATGCTAATTATCCCATCAAGCATAATAAAAAGCATGTCAAGCGATGTGCCATGCCAAGCGACATGCCAAGCAGGAAATCATTATTATACACCCAACCACGCTACAAGCCTAAGTGGGCCCAAGCCACTCGAATGCCCGGGGCTTGCTTGAGTGGGTTGTGGTATGGATGGTAATAAATCAACATGAGGCCCATTGATGAGCCGAGAAATGGAAAGTCTCGGGTTACTTGGGAGCCTCGAGACTCAAACTCATTTCTTAGGCTCAAACATGTAGGTGAGCACAAGAGGAAAAGAAATAGCCCAAATAGCCCAAATAACCCAAATACCCCAAATAGCCTATTGACTCAAAATCCCAATATTTAACAAAATAGCCCACTTATTTAATGAACTACCTTGGCCCATACAAAGCTTCACAATAAGCCCACAAAAACCTCAGCCCTTTGCTGGAAAAATAGAAGCCACGTAGAGAAGGTCTACAGGTTCATTAAACAAAACCTTCAGACATGGGGGGAGCAAGTTCCAAGCAAGAAACATTCAAGAAACCAAAGAATATTAGCCTGCGAGCTGCCAGAAACACCTTTCGAACCAGCATATATTTCCCAACTCCTTTTCCCATCAGACTTGGCCATGGAAAAGAGAGAAGAAAGCAATAAAAGAAATGGCTGGGAATGGAAATCTGTCACCAAGACAGCTGCGGGAAAATGGGGCATTGAGCTCCCAAAGTTCCTGATTTTGTGCTAATAAACAGAGGAAATTTCACCAAGATAGAAAAAGCCAGGGGAGGAAAAGAGAAAGTAAGGGAAAAGCTTAGCCAAAATGGGTAGAAACCATTAGGGTTTCTTGGGAAGGGATGATTTCCAGCGCCTATAAAATGAGGCCTCTTCTACCCAACAAAAACAACCCACGCCTGGAGAGCAAACTTTCTCTCTAACTTGCAAAAACCCAGCAGTCTCGTGCACTGTTCACCATCTTCTCCATTCTTCTCTTCTGGCAACCAGAGTATATGTCAAGCTGCCAGAAGAGCATTGTTCTTCATTTCTCTCTTCCTAGCCAAATCTCCTACAAAATCTCTCTTTTCTCACCTTAACACTTCCCTTTTTCCCTCTAAGAAAGCCTAAATTTCCTTTTAGTGCTAAACTCATGCTGCTTTTTCTCCCATGCCATATGCCTCTCATGCCAAGCTTAAAATTTTATCTGTAAGCATGCATAAATTATCTGTAAGTTGCCATTATTTTGGTTGGTGAAGGTAACCAAAATACTTCCTAAGGCTCTACTGCCCTTTCGAGGTATTTTAGGGCTTAATTTTCAAACTCAGGCAAAGGGGACAATTTCATCAGTCTGCCCTTTTTATAGCAACCCAGCCCATTTGCAGCTACTGGAGGAAAAAGTCCCCTACAGTCTTTATATAATTTCAACACAGCCATTAAATTGGACTTACAGAAAATTTGAATCTCTTTCTAATCATTTTTTCTCCTTTAAGACTTACTTTTTTTTTTTCTCTTTCCATTTTCCTAAGAGACTAAAGTGCAAATATGATCAAATTTTCATACAAATGTGGCTATTTATTATTGAAAGAATATTAATATGAAATGACCAACTATGAAATTTAATATACAATAAAAGTCATTAAGGCATAACTAAAATTGAATTGCCTTAACCTTGAAATTTTTACAACAAAACCATAATGGCAGCTTCAACAATTATGCAGCTTCTCCTACACTAAACAACATAGCTAAAAAATTTACATGTTAAAAACACTAATTACTTTATACAAAGGAAAAATGTAATCGTATAAAAAGAAAAGATTGAAAAGTGATAAAAACTCTAAAATATGAAATGAAAGCTGACACAAGAAAAGAATTCACATTAATATTTTAAAAGAAAAATAAAGATGGTCATCAAGCTAATAATTGTCAAGATATATGAACTCAACAACACTATAATTTTTAACAAATAAAACCATGAAAGAATACACACCAAGAACGAGATACGGTAGAGCATGCGCCATGACCTTGCCATTATAGGTCTGGAAAACATCGAATAAAAATTAGTTTCAATCTCCATCACCCACCCAAAAAAAACAACTCAGTTCTAACACAAATAGGCACTAGATCTAACATTAAAACCGTCAATGACCCATAAATTGCAGCCATAAATGACAGAAATAGTGATGACATTGATAAAATCTTACCTTTTGTAATGAATTTCAGTTTTGGAAAGGAATTTATGTGTCTAAGGTTAGGGTTTTATGTTGGGGATTTGGGGGTTTTGGTATGAGAGAAGTAGAATGAACCCAGAGACGTAGCCTTGACACAAGAGAGAGAGAGAGCGAGAGAGAGAGAGAGAGAGAGAGAGAGAGGTTTTGAGAGGGCTAGCCAAGAAGATGAGGCAAAAGAGGGAAATTTTCAAAGCGCTAGCTAGCGAAGGAGAGAACAAGAGAGGGAGTAAAGAGCAGGTGAAGCTCGCCATCATTGTCCTCGTCGGTGGTTGCTTGCTGGATGCTAGAAGAAGATGAAGGAAGTGAAAGAGGGGGCTCAGTTTTTACTGGTTGGGGATTTTCCTTCAACCTGTTGAGAAGGTTTTCAAGTTATATCATTTAATGGTGTAGATCTCTCGTTGTTGATTTGCCTAAATCTAACGGTCAATATCTATTGGCGCATGGATGTGCCAAGTGCACCGTAGAATTTTCGTATTATCTAATCATGTTAGTTCACGTGATCACTTTTCTGATACAAGAGGAATCCTAGCAACCTTCTCTCTAACCTTCTTCTTTGGACCTTCTCCCTTTTTTGTTTGACATATGTCATTCTCCTTACACTTCAAATAATGTCATTAACATACTATACAAGCTAACTTTTGTTTTCCAAGTTTACCCTTATTAAATGTATTCAATTTATCCAAAAAAATTTCACAACTTTCTTACCATCTTATTAATTTTTTTCTAACGTCAATTACTTTTTTTTAAAGAAAATATCTACTTTTAAGAGGAAATGTCCGGTTTTATTTATTTATTTATTTTTTATATAACACACAGGGATAGAAAAAAAAAAGTCCTTTGTGTTTAAAAAAAGGGACATTTCCTCTTTTTTGAAAAAAAAACAAACATTTTCTTTTAAAAAATAATTGACGTTTAAAAAAACTTAACAAGATGGTAAGAAAGTTGTGAATTTTTTTTGGATAAATTGAATACATTTAATAAGGGTAAACTTGGAAAGCAAAAGTTAATTTGTATAATATATGAATGATATTGTTTTAAGTGTAAGGAGAATAACACATGTCAAGCAAAAAAGGGAGAAGGTCCAAAGGAAAAGGTTAGAGAAGAATGTTGCTAGCATTCCCCTGATACAATGAGACACAAGAAAAATTAGATACATTTTATGAGTTGTGTTTTTCACCCCCTTTTAAATAGTTTCATAATTAATTTTCAATAGTTTGAATAAGTACTTTACATAACTAACTACCATTTAGTTTGGTGATATTCATTTTAACTTGGTTGAGGAGGTCTCATCTTCGATATTTAGTTATGGGTAACACC